GTCGTGAAATTGTGCGCCTCTGAAATTGAAGGCGAATAGATGGATCCCGTCTGGCAATGACGTGTTCGTGTTGAACTCGGTTAAATTCTCTCAGATAAATAGCAAGGCGTATGAGATAACTATTTTAACTCCAGTGTCATGAAATTGCAGACCTCCGAAATTGAAGGCGAAATCAGACAGGGCCGATACAAATATTGTGTTCTCCAATTCTCTTTCCAAAAATTGAAAATGCGCAAAGAAATGGGTGCCTGAACAAGAAAATTTGTATTCCTCGAGAAAAAAAAAACCAGTCGTTAGGAGATTTAAAGATGGAATTGAAGATAAAAGTTAGCTAGTTAATTTTAGTAGTTAAGTTTGAAACTTCTTGGAAGGAAACAATTTGGCCGCGAGAGAAATAAATAAAATTCAGCTTTGGTTATCTTATAGGTACGTAGCTTGTTTTAAAAAAATGAAAATATGTGAAATTTAAGATAAAAAGAATTGTATATCGACGGTGTAAGTCGGCAATCACATTCTTAACTCGGTTAGCGACGTCGCAGACTTCCTGTCATACTTTATTTTTTTAAACGGAAAACTATTCAACGGCAATTCTTTAAAACTGCCGTGATTTTGCTTCTTTGTGCGAAGAAAATTCTGCATAAACTTCAAGGAATGATGTCAATTTGTTCTCCTTTAAAGAAATAAACTAGAGGCGGAGTTTTTCAGACACAGCAAACGAGATATATGTGATCGCGGATTTACGCCGTCGATATTCTTTTTAGGAAGAAGTACATACTTTTATACATGTAACTGCTCATTTTTACACTTGATTACAATGTCGCACTAAAATGAATTATTAACTTAGAAAATTCACTTATTAAATGTTTAGATGATTGGCCGAACGTTCACTGAAAAAAATGAGTTAGCGTCAAATGACTAAAAATGGTTTCTACACACTAACTCAAATTGTGTGATTTGGACACACATGATTTTTGGTTTCTGTACACTAACCACTATTAGTGCTGGAAACTAATTCCGCTACTCTAATTCGCATTCGGTAGGGTTGGGTCAACCTAACCTCAAAACTGAGAGAGGAGAAAACGGCTTAGCGAATGATAACTGGACAATACTTTCAGGAAAAGAAGATTTCTTAAAAGATGAGAGGTAAAAATCAACTGACCGGTTCCAAATGAACGACAGAGGAAAGGAATATCCCATAGGTATGTGCAAGTAGACAGAATTATCCTTTAGAGAGACACACACTCACACATGAAACGGTAGCGAATGTTCACACTGAATAAACATATCTCGTCCGAACACTTGAGATATTCTTTTGAAATTACGGGAGAACACGAACTATAGAAGTAAGCAGTAAGTTCACAGATTTTCGTAAAATATAAACTGAACGCGGAACGCTTTAATCGCAATTTAATACAGAAGATTGACGACTCCAACGAATATCATGCTTGTTTACGTTTTGAATCGAACAGACGATTTCTAACCTTAACAGGTTTATTTATGTTGCTTTCGAACGTTTTCAAGAAAGAGAGGACACTATAAATCATACCGGGAGTATTTACATTGTCAAACGAGCCCGAAATTTCACATTTTAATTGATTTTCACGAGCTGACGCGATTGAGGCTGTTGTACCGACGCCACTTTTTCGAAACTAAATAAATGTAACGGACAATGTGGCAGTTAGTGTTGAGGGCGAATTAGTTTGACCCGAAGGTGAATTTGTCTTACCACAGCGCTAATTTTACAGCTAGTGCTGTTTTCCAATTCTGGTTCGCGCTCTAGTAAAGTCAAGTCAGCGTATGAAGCGAATTGATTGGTGCTTCAGTACAATAAATTAGTTCTGAAGCCTAATTTTGATTCTACTTGGCGAGAACCAACCAAATTAGTTCTCAACGCTAACTACTTTTTTTTCAGTGTTCGATGAAAATTGGTGCAAAAAACGCGTTTATTGAACGCAATATTCATAAAAAAAAATTAGAGCGCGAAATTGTAGCACATTAATCGAACTAAGACTTATGCCGTCACTGTCCATACACTAACTACGTAGATTCGTCTGCAACAATGTAAGCGTGGCATCTTGATCCCAACGGAAAATTATTTCATTCAAATGGGCGATTGTTTATTTATTTACTTCAAGTGTTTTTTTGTCGTGCGTTAGTCGATAACTCACTTTCATACCCTCGATAAAACCACCGTGAAAGCTCCTGTTTTGACCTGTCAGTTCACAAGTTTATGGACCTAATCAACGAACGACCTTAACTTTTGAGCACTCTTTCAAAATGGAAGGGGAGGATAAGATACAAACAACTAAGTGTCTTATAACAAAGTTGACGGTGATATAAAGGCGATAAAAGTTGATGATTGCTACATAATTTTTTCTTTTTTAAAAATTAAAGAGTCGCGGTTCTTCAAAATATCTGTAAAACCTTTTCGGACGGGCAAAATTGTGAATTCCAGAGAAACGCGCGTATAAGATGCCCAACAAATAATGAAAAAAAAAACCAACTTAGTTACTCGTAAACGAACGAACAAAGAATCCAAAATGGGCCATTCAAGAATTTTTTTTAACAATAACCACACAATATAAAAAAAAATTAAATAAAGGGGAAAAGAGATTCACGGAATAATGAATTAATATGACGTTTAAAGATTAAGTTTGGCATGATTTTCGCGAAAAAAGTTATGCTTTCAAAGTACCTAACTATAAACTTCTCAAGTGTTTATTGTCATTTCGTTTTTGAATTAAAATTTCAGATGGAGGCTCTCAGTTGGCTCTTGAAGGAAGTAAATTGTCATTCTCTACAGGTGTAATCATAATATTTTGGTGGGAAAAGGAACACTTATACCTTGTAGCTTTTATCTACACAGAAATTTTATTTATGGATATTTTCAAATACAGTTGTAGTGCTGAGCGTTTTAAAAAAAATTAAACCATTGACTCGAAACAAGTGAATTGTTACTTCAATTTATGAGTGTTTTTAGTTTCATTAAAATAAAGGATAATTATTTCGAACCAAGTCCAGATGTTTGATCGCAATTGATAATTTCTGAAGTGTTACTGATTGGCTTTTAAAATTCAATGATTTCAGAAATGCCATTAAAAAGGCTAATACAAGATGATTAAAAACAAAAATATCTCTGTCGCCCTCTCAGGGGACGGCCCGATCAAAAAAATATCTTTGAGTATTTTGAAGGTTAAAAACATTTCAGCATGATTCTGGAGACAAAAAGTTTTAAAAAATAATGTAGGTATTAGGAAATTTAGGGAAAATCTTCAAAAAAAAAAAAAAATTATTAAGATACCTAAGAAAAATGTATTTAAGGTAGAAAAGAATTATTTAAGTGCGTTGTTCAAAATATGGATATCAATGTGTCAAGATTATTTTCCCAGAGACTAGACTCGACATTTACCTCTAGATCAAGAATAGTAACTTTAGCAACTTATTGAGCAAATGTACATCATCTTTAACATATAACAAATAGCTAACCTTAGATTAGAATACACGGTTTCATTTTAGATGCAATGAAGAGTGGCTTTATTTTTTGCAAGATTAAATTACAACTATTTAATATCGGTGATTTTTTTAAATGGACCATCGACGGAGAGGTATTAAAGAGGCACGGCATACCTGAATAGAACCCCTCAAAAAGGGGACCTGACGGAATGTATTGCGGTGAAAGAAAATGCTAAGTTCACGCGTTAGGAAGTAGTTCTACCTCTTCTTTGCCTTTGGATCCGGTTGAATTTTGAGAGAGAGAAACTAGGTAAACAAATAAAAATAATTGAAGGCAGGAGATGACCAGAGGGACTTTTCTGTCTCGCGGTCACCCGGATGAAAACTACCCATGAAGCGGAAAAGCGGGAACGTCCCGAGGCAGGAAAACTTGAAACTTCAACCCCAAAGTTTTCAGCATCAAACTCATCCGCACTTAAGGAACACAAACAGGCCGCTTTGGGATTATTGTTTGTGTTCTCGGACCGAAGTTGTGGGCCAGGTTCACAAACTTCAAGTCCGAAACTACGGTCCGATTTTTCCACACGTCTCTGGTTCGGGGTTTCACTAAAGTACGGATCGCAATTTTTTTGAACGGAAAATAGAAAATAGTATTCGAAGGCGAATATTCTCACTTTGACAGCGCATCCACGAAGACGCTGAGAATATAAATAATAAAATTTATGGATGATAATTGGATTGATTCGAATATTGCCAGACTTGGTTTCTATTTCCAAGGGGTCCGTTTGTGGTTTTAGTTGAAGGTAGGTATGAATTAACGACTAGAAGGAATTAGATTAAAAAACATTTCCGGGGTCCTATCTTTAGCTGATAGAGGTGTGTAAATATTCTCATACAAATTTCACGTAGGAATCCTTAAATTGAAACTGAGTGACTTTTCCAGTCTCAAGTGGGATAGGAAAGTTGACCAATTGATTTTTTATTTAATTGTTTTAAGTCGCATGTTCAGATGCTGGTTAAGCCCGATTCCGTATCAAATTTAGGTTGTGAGTTATTAAAAACATTATTATTTAGACTTTCGCGACTAGGAAGGAGAATGGCTGACCTCCCAAACTCGAGACTTTGTATTGAGTCTTAAATTCTATCAGTAAAAAAAAGAAAAGATCGATGGACGGCAAAATTTAACGAGTCAGGTTTTGAGACACTTGTTATTTTTGATAACTCGCAACTCGCACGGCATTGGTTTAAAAACAAGTAACTAAAGAAGTTTGATGTTATCACGAGTACCTTACACACGATTTTTCGAGAATGGAATAAATTTGAGAGTGACAGTGGCTTTGTGAATTATTTTAATCTTAAAATAGGATTTACACACAAATTAGAAAAATACCGCGAAGAAATATTTTGATTCCTATATTGCTCCTACGCACGATTTTCACGAGTTTCGAAGTAGAGAAGAGCGAAAAAGAAAAATTGAAAAGACAGATGAAATAGAGCGGCGAAGTGCCAAAAACAAAAAAAAAATTCAACACCGAAGTGCCTCTTACCTTGAGCGATTCTCACCGCAGGCATTTTTATTCGCATCTTGAACAACTCTCTTGAAAAATCCAAGGTGGAGGCAACAAAAATTCAAACAATCCAAAAACGACAAAAATAACGAGGCGAAAATCCGCACACAAAACAAAGGGTCAACTCAACAGAGAAACTTGCACTTGATTTTGAAAGTAATCGACTCAAAAATCAGTCTGACCACGTAGTTGTCATCACTGATCGCGCACATCTTGCCGGACTATCCGCCGGGCAGCTGACACCAGAAATCGTTCGACATTTGAAAAATTCCACCGGCGAAACCTTCGAAAATCCCTCCCGAAAAACACACAAATTGCACAGGGGGTGGGCGAAAGCGAAAACACACGCGCACAGGGTGTCACAGGACGCGGGGCGGTGATAAGGAGAGTACGAAAGCGCGGATCGGCACAATTCCGGGCTGAGTGCGAACTACCGAAGTTACCGGGCTAGCCGGCGAGCGAGGTTTGGACATCGGGATCGTTCGGGTACGCTCGGCAGACCGCGGCTAGCCGGTCCTCTGAGGGGAAGCGATGCTCCCATGCGCGCAAGGGGAAAATATCCGTGGAAAGGTCGCTTCGCTCGGCCCTTGGCCGCTCTCCCCCACTATCGTGTGTGAGTACGCACGCAGCCGCGCTGGAGCTGCTTCGTATTGACTCCGCTGGAGCGCCAGCGGTCAGATCCGCACAGCCTCCGATTCATATCCACTCTCTCTCCCACTCAAACACCGCCCTCCGACGAGGCACCGAGCTTTTTCCCCGGCCCTGAGTTGGGCGCCAGGCGCCACGCTTGGCGCACTCCCCGCGAGCGCCGCGGTCAGTTTGGTCACTGCGCGCCCGCGCTAACCCCTTCGGCTCTCGGCCACCCCTCGCATTGACTGGACGCTGCTCGCACCCTCCTTCCTGTCGGTGTTTTGTTAGCCCGTACAAAATGGGAGAATTTATTCGCCGTGGGTGATTTGACCGGCCAATCCCGTCTATAATTTTGAGGGATGAAGGGGTTGCTCTGGGACTCTTAGAGATCGATTGCAAAGCTCTTTTAAAGCTCTATTCCTTCATAACTAGCTGTATGTCATGCACTTCTCGGTGATGAACAAAGATTTCACGTTCACACTCAGTGCTACGACTATCAAAATTATCCCGTTTAAAGCTGTAGTAAAGAATCGATTATTATGGTGCTCGTTGCGAACGCTCTGAAAATCGACATTTTATGATAAGTTTGAATGGTATCCCAATCGATACGTCACAAAGCACGCCACGCCGCCACTGTTACGCAGGGCACCCGTTTGAATTACTCGGATTTACCCAGCATGATTTGTTGAGCCCAAGAGATGTCTTCGATGAATAAGCGCGGAATTGAAAGTACACTGTCATTTTAGATCCTCTCGGTAAAGCCAACCGCGCGATGAAACGAGTTTCAGAGAGGTTGGATGTGACATTTTCCACCAAAACTGCAAATTTTGATGTTAGGTCCTTCACATGATGCATTTTCTGGGGTGCTTCTTGAAAGGAATTTTACGAGAAAATCAATGCCACCCGCATCTAAGACCTCTCCGTTCTGTAACAAGATCGATATGAGCTTTTGATATTTTCACATTTTTTATGACCCCTCTCATAAACTGACTCCACTGAGCGCCGCTGACGGGGCAACAAGTTTCTGAAGCCAGATCGCCTTCATTTCGGTGCGTATGCAACACGGACATCCATGGAGTTCGAATAGTTGCATCCAGGCGCTATGATGAAATTACTTTAATATCCGTCGCATGCGACGCTAACTGAAGCTACGATTGTTTTTCTTACACCTTAACTTTATTCCAGCGCTTACTATTGTGCTGATGAAGTAAACCATCACTGATTTTTATCGCAACATCATCAGTTTGTCCAGACGAGCATTATCCAAATTATCAAAACAATGCCAACCCTCGAAATCGCAAAAAAGCTATGTATTTGAGCATGATATGCAGGTTTTCCTACAAAGTAACTTACTGAGCAGTCCTTTGCTTGGATTTTGTTCGTTCAGCCTCATGATAACATAAGTGCGATCTCAAAATTTGAAACAAATGACAAGTAGCTGAAATTATGGAGCTAATCGGAGCGATGTATCGCACGTCGATCTGACACAAAAAATAGCGTCCGTCGAATCACAAGGATACTCATCTTAAGGATACTGCCGTGCTAAGGAAGAATGCCGTAAGAACATTCGAGAGTTGCCAAATTTCCTTGAATATCATGTTTATTTTTGCGGAAAATCATGAATATTTTCCCTCGAAATTTTCAGGAACTTCAGGTGAAATTGCGCACACAATTATCTGAAAAATTGGAAGAAAAATGTTCACAATTTTACCAGGAAATTCGCGTTTCATCAAAGGAAATTTGGCAACGCCTGAAGGTTCATACGGCGGTTTTCCTCAGCACGGCAGGATACGAACTGAAGTTACCCCTTGTAACGAAAATTTTTTAACTCAGGGATAAATCCGTTGTCACATGCGTTAAATAGGTCGAAAGCTCAATTTTATGAAACTTGCCAGGCTCACCACTGAACCCGGTATAAACGATCCGAAATCCCGGACGGGAGCTTTGAACACGAGCAGCTGACGTGTGTGTTCAGAGGTTTGAACATGTGTACTTTACATTTTCGAACGAGGCTCATAAACCGCGCGGACTTCGACACCGGCCGCGTCCCCTCCGGCTCATTTGAATCGATGCCCGCCACTTGAAGGACGCAAGCCCAAAAACTCATGAACCCCAGCGTCCTGTGAAATCCACGGAAACCAGAGCTCATGAGTCTTCGGACTTACGCGGTTTCATCAGGCATGGATTCATTTTTAATTTTTCGACATTAAACGAGGCAGTTTGTTTGCGGAGCGGAAGTATTGAAACACATCACTGGGTCCCGGTAGCTGGAGTCGGGACAGGTGATTGATAAATGGTGGTGGCAATCAGTGGCGTGGCGTGAATAATCGATTATCGATAACTCGCCATTTGAAACTATGGTAAAGAATCGATTTGTTCGGAGCGAACACCCTGATAATCGATCTTTTTTCATAGATTTAAATGGCATAACAATCGATATATCGCAATTCACGCCACGCCCCTGGTGGCAATTACAATACTCACCTGAACGCCCACGCCGAGTGCGTGGATTCCGTTATTTTGAAACGCGGGCTTTGGTGCCCTCGGACGAAATTTCGATTTTTGAGCGGCGGAATCATTTAAATTTGAATCAAGTGAAATCGTTCTCTGGTCAGTGAAAATGTTGGGCTGAGGAGTGACTGGAGGGATCGAGTCGAATCGGAAATGATCAGTGTTTACATACGCAGGACTGTGCGATAGACACAAATAATAAATCAGGCTGATGGGTCCTCAGGGAGCGTTAATAATTTGCGTAACGCACTTTTTCGGCATTATTGTCCCCCTCTTTCCATTTTTACACTTCGTGGCAAGATCTCGGATCCCCCAATCCTTGATGATCATGGGTAACGGACGGACGGTCTTAATGGACTGCCCTTAAGATTCCGAAATTGTGGATAACTGTTTAAAATAGAGTTGAGTACAATTTGAAGTATTTCAATGATAGTGTAACAAAATGACGTTAAAGAAACGAGGATTATACATCTTGAATTTTTGTGTGTTGTTTACTAACAGAGTGTTCTAACTTTTTCTATGTGTTCAACGACCAGGAATTTTTGGATGAAGTTTGGTGATACCTCGCGATACGACCTTACACTGGAAAAAAACACATTGTATTTAGAGTCCAGACTCTTGAAAACATTAACAAGCAAAAATACTCTTAATTCAATCGGATCTTTGCTTGAATCAGTACGAAATCCGCCTAAATTAAGAGGCTTGGTTCTTGATTTAAGCTAGATTCTGATTGAATCAAGAGTACTTTTTCTTGTCGATGTTTTTAAGAGTCTGAACTCTAGATCCAATGTGTTTTTTTTTCCCAGGGTATACCGAATCGGGATGATCATGATGTTTTCGCTCGATACGATGACGATAGTCAGCCGAAAATATTGAAGGTTAAAAATCCGGAAGATACCTCCTCCGGAGTTCAATATCGACAACAAGAGTGCCGAGAGAAGCACTGAAAACGAGCACCCGTTCGAACGAATCGAACGACTTAAAGATTGTTGTCGTAAAGTAAGACTTCCCGGCGTTATTAAAAGCCAGGGGTTGAAATTAAAAGGTAAGTATTTGCAATGATCGAAATTTGATATTACGAATTCTGGAAAAGAGGGGGATGTGGGGGAGCGGGTGGGGGGGTGCAAACCGAGGAAAGACTGATGAAACGGATCGATGGAAGAGAGATGGAATCGGCCGGGGGGTGGGGTGAAGCAAGACGTGGCGCGAAACGGTAAAAGTTTTCATTAAAAGTTTCACTTTTCACCCTTTTTCTCTTTATTTTTCCCCCGTTTTTTTCTTATTTTTTCGCGAAGTTCGACTCGTCTTGGGCGATAAAACGGGGACGGGCAACAGGTCCTCCGTGGCGGCGCGCTCGGCGGGAAGCGAAGTGATTTTAATTACGAACTATCTGCGCTGTCAAAAGGCTCATTAATGCGGTTCAATTTGTCATATCTGTTTATTGTGCGTCTCCACTATTCTCCGGAGTCATTATTTTCGTTTATGACTCGGCTCGCATGCATAAAACCGGGGTAATCGCGAGCGCGGTTGCGCGAACGCGCGCACGGGGAAAAAGCTCGGGCATGTGTACCAGTGGCGTGGCGTGCTTTGCGATAAATCGATTGATCTGCCATTTCACCCCATGGAAAAGGATCGATAAACAGGGTGTTCGCAGCGAACACCTGAATAATAGATTCTTTATCATAGCTACAAAGGAGGAAATATCGATCATGGATCATGGATCATTCACGCCACGCCACTGATGTGTACCGTACTGTCGTGCTAAGGAAAAACGCCTTCTGAGCAGTTGAATCTTGCCGAATTTCTCCAGGTGAAAATTGTAACAAGGAAGAAAGTTATTTCTTTTTCTTTTTCAAATTTTCAGATATTTTAAATTGAATTGTTACCAAATTTTCTAAGAAATTTGAAGAAACATGTTTACAGCTTTTCAAATTATTGTCGAAGGAAATTTGGCAACGGCTGAAGGTTCATACGACATTATTCTCCACAACGGCAGCTTAGTACGAAGTTCCTTGTCAACCATGCAATTTGGTTCGTGTAACTAAAAAAAGTTCGGGCGTGTGTATCGTACTGCCGGGCGACGGCAAACTGCCACCCGGGTGGCAGTTTTCAAGAAATTTGTATGAAAACTGCCACCCGTATAAATTTGAAAACTGCCACCGGTAGTGAAAACTGCCACCCGTGTAAATTTGACAACTGCCACCCACATGAATTTCGGCGCACAGAGGTTCGAAGCGGACATTTAGAGATTTTCGAAGATCCCAGGTAAAGAAAAAAAGTAAGTGGGTGGATGCTGTCATCAAGCGATTTTATGAAAAAATCTCCAACAAAGAAGGCGAAGTGATGTCCATTGATGACTTCATGAAAAGAATTTCCACTAAATTCGCCAAAAATCCCACCAACCTCACCAAAAAGAAAGAAGGTAAAAGTCAGAAG